GGCTGGGTGGGGCTGGCCCCACACATTGCTGCCATGTGTAGCTGGGGACTGGGGTGGGAGTGTGGGGGGCTGCATGCGATTGGGCTGGGCAGGGCTGGCCCCGCTTACTGCCACCACATGCAGTTCCAGGGACTTGCACACTCCGGGGACTCTGAGGAACTCCCCCCAACCTACCCCGCACACACACCCTCCCTCCATCCACCATACCCAAACACACTCACAACTTCCCACAGCCCCCCACACACTCCCACTCCCCACCATAACCCTACAACCCCCTACACACCCCACCCCCCCAGCATGCCCCCACATCCTCCCACACAACTCCACCCCAAACACATACTTCACACCCACACCCTTGCATACCCACCCCATACTCCCCTACACACCCCAGCCACCATACACACACATCCCCACATGCACCCACTCCCCAACTCCCCTCACATACACCCCTTTACTCTCCCCACACACAATATACAAGAGTAAGACTATATTTGAGCTATTATATAATCACCTCTGGATATACTATGCAAACGCACAGAAATCAGGACAAAATATTTTTTTAAATAAAATTAAAATACGTTATAGTAGATTTTTTTTTTTTTTTTAAATATATGATTTTTTTTTTCTAGTTTCAAGATGGCAACCCCCACTCCCAAAAGGAGTACTTCTGGGGCAAGGGGAGGGACTTCCAGTGAAAAGGTCAGGGGCTAGGGGCAGGACTTCTGGTCCCAAGATGGTGACCAGGGGGAAGAGCATCTGTCAAGGGGTGGTGCTACCCATGAGGCCCTCGAAAGCTCACCAAAACTTGTTAAGCAGCCCTCCAGCTGAAATAATTGTGCACCCCTACACTAACTGCATGGTAGCTAAATAATACTGCACTGTAACGCATCACAGCACAAACAGTGCTAATACGCTACTGCACAATATTATTAGGCTGCTGGGCAGTAGCATCACTAAAAAGGCATTTGCCAGTGCTGCTGCTGATCAGTAATGCAAGTTATACAAGTACTAAATATGCAGTAACTACTGTGCAGTAACGTCTCATATAGACGCACCAAGTATCTTATGTAGTAGTCATCTAAACCATGTGCTAGTCTTGTATAATGTGCCCTCAGTCTGATTTGGTAGTGTTTTAGGCCAGCTAGGGAACACAAGGCAGGAAGAAGAAAGTAGAGCGGCAGATTGAACAGAGAAAGGGGACTAGAGTGGCACTTGGGGAGGGTGCAGAGTTAATTTGTGGCATGCCGCTCAAAAAGGTTGGCCCCCATTGTTTTAGGACAACTGTGATTGATGTGAATGCCAAGACAATGGTAATAATGAGGGGAAAAGAAGGCAATAGGTAGCATGGGAGTTGTGGGTAAGTTTAATAGAATCACACAATTATTCATTGAAAACTAGAGTATGGCCTGATAGAATAAATAAAGATGTATGGCATTAGTATATGCAATAGAAGTAAGACTTGAGTGCAGAGTAGCAGTTCATGAAGAGCTTTTCCTACAAAGGCATTGAATAAAGTAGGAATATTTGTGAGAAAAGCAGATGAATGTAGTGTTGATGCTGGCTTCACTGGTGAGGTAGCAACCAGTGTATAAGAGAAGTAGGGCTGGAGCAATGTTGTTAAAGGTTTGAATATTGATTAATGAGTGACAGAAGGGGCTCAGGTTTTAGTGACTGTGTAATGGACCCTTATTTTACCCAGAACTAGGGATGTAACTGGTGAAGACTTTATACTTTTCCATATGGAAAGACCATATGTCATTATGATTGCAGACAGGGAGGATTAAGAGAAGAGGAAAGGATACCATGGCATGTGTCACTCTGCTTGCCCAACTTGTGATGCAGCAGTCCCCATGTAAATACCAGGAGTGATCACCTCCCCGGTGTACGATGGGTCAGGGTGCCTTAACCTCAGCCTCCACATTCAGGTGGGTTATTTAATGCAGGGAAGGCCAGGGTAAGCTTCTTGAAGCACCTGAGCCTGCTGGGGTGAGTGATCCTGCAGGGCTAAGCACACTTTGCGAAGCACCTGAGCTGGGAATGGGGGACCCCTGAATCCTGTGGGTAGGTAAGCAGCTTAGTCCTGACCCGAGGTACTCGACTGGTCAATGCTAGGGCCAGGCTCCAGAGAGGGGTCAAAAGGGCCAGAGGCCCATCGCGAGGGATGCCCACAGAGCAAAGCAGCTCAGGGTTCCGACTGGCCTGAGATGGGGCCAGGGCCTAAGGGGAAGCCGAAGGTCCCACAGAGGGGACCATAGCTAATAGGTGAAGGTAATGGCTGAGTTTAGCTACCTGGGATGCCATCTGCAAAGCTTGGGCCACAGTGTAGGGTTGGAATGGAGCTGCAGATACCACCCCCACTAAATATTGGGGTTCAAAATGGGCAGCCTTCTGCCTAAGTGATACCTCAATACTATTACATCAAGGTGTGGCAGGAGAGTGAGGTGGCAACTGGCTTGTAGACAGGAGTCAGGCCAGTGCCTGCACCGGGCATGAAAGCTTGCCCCTGTCACAGATTGGCTTTGGGAAGGGCCCCTTTCACAACAGGCAAAATTATCCTTGCTAGTTGGATACATGGGAGGGTCAGATCCCACAGACAAAGGCAGTAGTGACCAGGGATGAAACTAGGAATTTTGGTGCCCTGGACAGAGGAGAGGGTGCCGAGCGCTGGCAGCCCAAGAGGGCTGGCGGAAAGATGTTAAGCAGTTATCTCCTGGAACAGGAGCTGCTGCATCACAAGCTCCTTGAACATCAGATCCTATGACTGCATGGGATGCAGCAGTGCAGGCTCCCCAAGGCTGCCATTCTACCCTTTAAATTGATGCTTGGGGATAGGGTCCTGCTTGCTGAATTACACTATGGGCAGCAACTGTAGAAATAAAACCAAGGCTTCCTCTGTCATCTCTGCCTTTCTCAAATCTGGTCCCTACAGGCAGAGTTGGAGCCCAGTGAACACATCAGGCAACCAAGAGTAGGCCTTGGATGCCTTGTGCGTGACTTTGTATTGGGAAGCAAAGGAGGAGTTACTTGTGGAGTACATATCACAGCATGGTTGACTTTGCCTGGTATACAACTGGTCCACATGGCTAGATCTGTTCAATGGGTGAACTAAGCTCATTAGGGACAGTGCTAGTGGGGAGCAAGTTGCCTGCAATACCACAGGTTAGAGGGGCTAAGGGAGCACTAGCCTACAGCAGAAGAGAAGGCCTCATTTTGTGTCTTTCAGCAAGAAGGTTTTAGATTCATCTAAGGCTCTGGCTCCACAAAGAAGAAACTGAGCCCCAAGATTACATTGTGTCTGTGAGGGCTGACATTATGTGGGTGGCTTCTCTTTGAACCTGCAGCCAGAGAATGGCCAGAGCTTGATATAACACGGGACATGTTATATCCTAAAAAAGGAGCTGTCAGCTCTCCAGAAGGGGAAACCTACCCTTCTGTAGAGCTCTTGTATACAATGTAATGGCATTTATTATTTGTATATAGTTTGTAGATATTTAAGCCGAAATCCACAAAGATTTTTAAGTTCACACTTCCCACAGATTTGTGTATCAGTTTGGAGAAGCTGTTTCTGAAGTATTGGTTGGTTATTCTCTTATCTGATATCTTCAGTTCCCTCACCTGTTCCCATTCAGTTTTATTTTAACTGAGTCTGTTTTGAGAGAAAATGCAATTTATTCTCTGTTGTTTCTTGTTTCCCTTCACTTAGAAACTAAGGCTGCTTACAGATGTGAAAAAAAACGAAAACTTGACATGCCCCCACACTGACCACAGCACAGGCCCAGAAGAGGAATCACATTAGTTGCCCAATATCTGTATAGATCGAGCATTTCAGCAGGGCTTTTCGGCACTTTTATCTAAGAGCTCAGTGGTTCTCAACTTTTTTTGGTTGGTGTATCCTCAGTGTCTGGTTGAGAAGCATGGAGTCCCCTGACGGCTGCCTGATGACTGGGAGTGGGGGTCCCCCACACACCCATGTGGCAAAAGCTGGAAGTGCCAGTGGTGCACAGCAGCAAAACTGGAAGTGCCAGCAGCATGCAGTGGCGGAAGTGCTGGTGGTGTGTGGCACCAGCAAAAACAAAAGCACTGGCAGCATGTGGCATGTAGCAGTGCAAGTAGTGCAAAGTGCTGGTGGCCCCGGCCCCTGCTTCTCCGTGCCACTGCCATGTACCCCCTGGGGCCTTCCCAAGTATCTCCAGGGGTACGCATACCCCCAGTTGACAGCCCCTGTTAATAGCTGATTAAATCAGCTATTGGATAAAAGGACCAAAAAGACCCACTGAAGCACCTGATCTATAAAGATGTTGCGGAGCCAGGTTGAACTATTGTCCTGCCTCTTCTGGTAAAGCTCTGTTCTTTTTTTTTTTCCTTTTTTTCACATCTGTCAATACTCTAAATTTTCAGAGGTCTCAGGAACAACTCATTTATATGCCTCGCCACTAAGTGGAAGCCAGAATTTGGGTTCCATTGGTATTAAGGTAGGTTTCCCAGCTCTGAGTGGAGTGGAGGAAAGGAGAAGAACTAGGGTGACACCACCCCAGCAGAACACGGGTGCTACTAAAGGGGTTGAAAGAGGAGATAAAACTGCCTGAAGAGAATGAAATGGCAGCATGTGTGACTTGCTAGTGGCCCATCCTCATATCTGGAATTTTCCAAAACCCAATTAGAAGCTACAATCCAGTTCTCTGATATGAGGTCTTGCTGAGATTTTCAGATTCTTGTTTCCACTTGCTTCTTTCTCTGCATGAGCTATTATCCTGGATATCAAGCTACAGGCTCTCTATCGCGTTGTCTCCAAGCAACAGCTTGACATGTGGGAGATTAAAATCTCTTTGGGAGTTTGAAATCAAATGGAGAATGACGTTGTTAGGTGATTTAAATGCCCTCAAAAATAAGCGTACCCACAAAATATTTTTTTTTAATCAGTAACTGGACTTAGTAGCTTGCATTTAAGAAATTCAGTTGTTTTGCTTCAAAACAAAAGCTATTTCTGTTTCTTGTTGTAGGTTGCCACTCGGCATGACCCCCAAACTGCGCATGTTAGACTTCTGATTAATAACACCAACATGCCATCCACAGCTAATCTCACAGATCTCATCCTGCTGGACAATGTTACTGGCCTTCATGTTAAAAAAAACAGTGGTAATAAGACTGCAGATGGGTTCCAGATATACAGGAGAACATTCCTGCAAGGTAACGAACTACAAATGGTTACAAATTTGATGGTGGTCCTGACTGAAATGTGGGAAGTCAAAGTACTTCCATATTAAGATATTTAACTGTTCATTCTGGTGATATAGCTTACAATCCACAACTCTCCAATTAATAAGGCAGCTTAAATGAGGCTGACAATATTTCCTGAGTTTCACAACAGGATACTTAACTGTCCTCCAGCTCTCTGGCACTTTCAGCTGTTTTTAAGCTCTAGTTTTATCTGAGAGGCAGGGGGAGGGCAGAATGCCAAAGGACCAGTGGTGACCTCGCATATCCCCTGCCTGGAAAACACCAGAAACAGAGGTTTCTGAAAACGTAACCAAAACTTTCATTTGACCAAACCAACAGGACATTCGCAACAAATATTTAAACAATACTGTCCTGAAAAAAAGATGCATGGTCACCTAGCTTAAACATTCCAGAAACTTGTATCACTGTTTTAAACTCTGCAGCTTTACTTTCTTTTATCTCAAAGAGAGTCATGTCAAATTTAGCACTAAGCTTTAGGGCTCTCTCTCAGGTCTATGAGTGCAGAATTCAATTCCTTCAAAAAAGCCAGAAGCGTTCTTTGCATTTTTTTATTGCATGAAAGCTTCCATGAACAAGTGTTCCTCATTCAGATTTGTCTAAGCTAGTTAGTCTAGCCTCAAGTTTACAAAAGGTAAAGTACGTGGGGCTTCCCTTGATGACTCAGGAAACTGTGGCTGGTGTAGAACATGGCAGTCCGCTTTCTGACAGAGGGTAGGTCACCAGGGAATATGGAACCGGAGCTCCAGTTCCTGCATTGGCTTCTGATAGTTTTTCAGGTACAATTCAAGGTGCTGATTTTGACTGTTAAGGCCCTAAACCAGGGGCGGGCAATTATTTCAGGCAGAGGGATGCTTACTGAGTTTTGGCAAGCCATTGAGGGCTGCATGGGTAGTTCTGCCTGTTGACAGGTGCCTCACCCCCTGGTTGTCAGTTTGTGGCCAGAAGTCCTGCCCCCTAACCCCTGACCTTTGCCACCAGAAGTCCCTCCCTTTGCCCCCTGGACTTACTCCTTTTAGCAAGGGGTTTTGCCATCCCTGAACCAGAAAATACCAAATTACATTCTAAAAATCAAACGTACTACAACATTAATTTCATTAAAAAAAAAAAAGTCCTGATTTACATGCGTTTGTGTAGCGTGCATAGAAGTGACAATACAATAGCTTAAAATTAAGTCTTACTCTTGTATACTGGTGAATTGCCCATTAAGAATGATGGGGTGTGGGGAGGGCTCCCTCCCTGCCATCATCGCAGCGCTCCGCTGTCCTACTCTGACCCTGCCGTTCCCTCCATCCCCCTCCGCCCCCGCCCTGCCCTGCCCCGCCCCGCCCCACCGCCACCTCCAAGCTTGAGCATTCCAAGAGGGTCTCCCCCCCCCCCCCCGCCCTGCCCTGCCCCGCCCCGCCCCACCGCCACCTCCAAGCTTGAGCATTCCAAGAGGGTCTCCCCCCCCCCCCCCGCCCTGCCCTGCCCCGCCCCGCCCCACCGCCACCTCCAAGCTTGAGCATTCCAAGAGGGTCTCCCCCCCCCCCCCCGCCCTGCCCTGCCCCGCCCCGCCCCACCGCCACCTCCAAGCTTGAGCATTCCAAGAGGTTCTCCTCCCCCCCCCCGTCCGGCTGTGTATGTGCCTGTGCAGAGCATTCTGATTGGTTGTTTCAGTAAACATTGTGATTGCCTGCCAAGAGAACCAATCAGAGTGCTCTAAGAGCATTATGGACAGACAGATGGACTAAGCCCTTTATATAGATAGACTTGTGGAAGGGTGCGTATATGTTTGTGGGTATGTGGAGTGTGGGGGAGGGTATGTGTGGGATTTGTGGCAGGGTGGATAGATGTGGGGGGTGTAGGTGCGTATGGGTTTTGTGGGGGGCTGCGAATGTGTGGGGGGAAGGTGCCTGGGAAGGGTTGTGGTTTGAGTAGAGGGGAAGGGCTTGCCCCCACCCTGCCCTGTGGCAGGCAGCGCCCCTGCTAGCGCTCTTGCAAGCCCAGGCTCCATGCTTCTGCTGCTCCTGGCCCCAGGCCAGTGGGACAGGCCCCGTGCTCCCACTCACTTCCACTTGCCCCACCCCATCTGCCAATGCTGCCCTTCTCCTGCTGCTTCCCCCTCTCCCCCACTCCCCTCAGCTGCTCCAGCACCACGTCCCAGCTGCTCTTGCGGTCCTGGCGCTGCAGCTGGGAACCATGTAGTGCCAGAATGTGGCGGGTGCAGTTGGAGCGGGGAAATGGCTGCGGCAGGCAGGGCGCAAGGGGCAGCTAGCGGTCATGAGGAGTGCAGCAACAGCCAGGCAGAAGCATGGGGCCCACACCAGTTCACTGTGGCCAGTGCTGGCAGGGTCCAGAGTGGGACGGCAGGAGCACGGAGGCTGGGCTGCCAGGGTGTGACAGGTCACCCTCCCTGGAGCCATCTTTCTGGTTATCTACACCTTACGTGGGGTGCCCTTGGGGTCTGCTCTGTAATTCTTCAGTCCCGCCCTAATCTCGTCTGCCATGTCTTGATAGAATTTTTTTTTTTTTTGAGCGGGAGACTGCCTATTATTTTGGGTATGTTGGGGTCTCTTCTATTATGGCGTGACCCCTGTTTTCTCTGGCTAGGCTTCCCCGTCCGAACCCATTAAACCGGGTTTGACTCCAAGGCTCTAGCTTTTCCTCTTCCCTTATGGAGCCTGGCCTAGAGGCATGGGAGCCAGACCCACAACCAGCAGATCACAGGTTCAAAACCTGGGCGCAACCCAAACCTGCCTCTGTCAGTCCAAACAAAACAAAGACAAAATATAACTGCGCTCTGGTGCACCAGTTCTCACCTGGCTTTCAAAAATAGTCCTTCAAATACCAGGGGTTCATGTCTCCCAAAAGCTGCACCCTCACTGGTGCTGGGGTCTGCACGCTGCCATGGACCCCCTCTGAGGCTGCCTCCATCCCCTAATAGCCTCTCCCAAGCCACTGGTCCTCAATAATCAAACGAAATGTAGACAGTCCCATCCAGGTACCATAACTGCTTTCAATAAAATAATAATAAAAAGAAACAAGTGATTATGTCATCTTACATTTACGCCGGGTTTGTGTTTCGGATCCCATCTGTTGTCTCGCATGGTTTCCACAGTTCCCTCTTCCAACTTTTGGACTGCTCACTAAGCTTCTCCCTAGAGCTTTGGGATGCACTTCAGCTGCCTGCCTACCTACTGCTGTTCTGCCCTGGGTTCTTATAATCCCTCCTCTTTTGGTCAGCTGACTAGTCAGCCTGGCCCAGCTATTAACCTCTTCTGCACCAGTTCTCTGGGCCCAAAAGGTTCGGGCTTTAAAGGGGTGGGCCTGCTTTCTAGTAGCAGGGCTAGGGTTCGCTGTTACATAGGAGTTCTATGGAGCTGGGCTTCATTGCTCAAGCAGGGAGAGAAGGGAGTCAGCTTGAATCCATAGAGCCCCTGGCAGCCTGCCCCCATGCTCCTACTGCTCTGCTCTGGGCCTTGCCAGTGCTGGCCTCAGGGCACCAGCGCAGGCCCTGCAGTCCCACCCAGCGCTCGCTGCACTTCACCCACCTGCTCACTGCTCCTTTCCTCTGCCTGCCACAGCCATTTCCCTGCTTACCCCCGACCTGGCCTCTGACACCACGTGGTTCCAAGCTACAGCACCGGGACTGTAGGAGCCAGCCCAGCCAGCCCTGAGGACTGGAGCAATCACCCATGGTCCTCCCCTGCCTCTCTCCCCCCGCTCCTTCTTATCTGTATTTCCCTCACTGCAGGGAGGCAGAAACAGCCCCAGGCCACAAGCCTCCAGAAGCCCCTCCTAGGCAGAAGCTTCTGGCTGGGGCTTTGGGTGGGTAGAGCTGGAGGGGGGCACGGGTAGCCTGGACTTGCTACTGTGGCTGCTTAGTTCTGCTACCGGCTCCCCCTGGGTCCTGTTGCTCCTGGCTCGTGTCATCTTTGACAGGCAGCCAGGGACAGGTATATATTAATTTTCTAAATATTTTAGTGGCCCTGTGGGCCAGATGGAATGGCCTGGTGGGCTGGATCCAGCCCGCGGGCCGTATTTTGCCTGCCCCTGCCCTAAACAATCTGGGTGCTGTATTCCTAAAGGACCACATTCTTCTGTATGCCCCATCTTGATCCCTAAGTTCAACTGAGAGCATCCAATTACAAGTACCACCAATGAGCCAGGGTCTCTTGTTGCAAACATATGGGAAGTCATTCCTGGTAGTTCCTCCTCAGCTTTAGAACGCCTCATTAAGGCCCATCAGAGCCTGAACCTGGGCATCTTTTAGAAGCACTGTAAGACCTTCCCATTTGGGCAGACATTTAACAAGCAAGGCTCAGCTGGGATAGTGTTTAGCGAATGTTTGTTTTATATCCTATTTTAATATTGTATGCACTTTTATAAGTCATTATGTTTCTTATTTTAAGATTCCCTTAGCCTTTGTTGGGATAAATAGTGGCATATAAAACAGAGACAAATAAATAAAATAAGTACATTCAATTCAGTATAACCAAATACCTTGCTCAATAACAAGTTTAAGATGGTGGTTCTCAACTTTGTTAGACTCGAGGCACCTCTCAGGAGATGCCAAGTCTTAGCTTTCACTCATTGTTTTGACTACAGAAAAATAATACAGCAATTAATTTGTTGCAAAGAACTCAGAAAGACCACAAATGGTCAAAATGTTTTCGACACTATGTATTCCTATTTGAAAACTGGGTTTATGTTGTAGGTAATTTGTGGGTAATTGCACACCTAACCATGCTAATAGTGAGTGGCACCCTTAAAAGCATCTTGTTACATCTCAGGGGTCTTTGGTACCCTGGTTAAGAATAACTGGTTTAAAAGAATCTTTAAAAATCAAATTAAAAAATATAAGGCTACAGTTGGTTCCATATTGGCACAAAACATCATCTGCATGGGAAAAAAAAAATGAAGAAATGGGACCAAAAACATTGCTAGTGTTAATAGGTAAGAGATGTATA